CATCTCATTTAAAGGGAAAAGAATATTCGTCGAACAATAAGACATTAAAGAAGAAAGAACACGAAGCATATATGTCAAAACTTAGCAAACGAAACAAGAAATCCACTAAAATGCCACGATAGGAACGAATCCAGCTACACGACCTGCTAAAAGAATCCGAAACGAAGAAGAAAACTGACTCAAGGATCGAAAGATTAGGGCTTCTGTGTGATGGCAGGAGGAATCGAAACTCGAGGATGGAACTCACCTTTATGGATTAGAAATCTAAATGGAACCCTAAAAACCAAGCCGAGGCCCAAAGGAGGAGATGGTCATCGACGGCCCTTGTTTTGTAATGAGAGGTAAACCGGGTTCGGGACCGGTCCAATGGTCCAACGACATTAAATTTTTCTACCACTTATTACTACCCACTGACCAACACTCCGTTCTATCGGCCGCATGACGTGGGCCCGCCTCCTCTCTCCATCAAATGTGAGGTAAAGAGTTAGGTACGACTTTAGGAGTTTGGGGAAAAAAAACTTTTTTAAAGGGGTAATAAAGATGGTTGAAAGAGGCAACTAAACCTTACTTACATTATAATATAAATTAATATATTCTAATCTAACTAATAATATATATATATCTTTTCATAAATTCTTATGAGGACAAAAAAATCCATATAGTCAAACATTATGGTTGAGCTGAATATACTGCCACATTTTCCACCCAATTCAGCTCTTCTGTTGAACTCAGGGAAAGCTGCAAACCAACAAATGAAGAACAGCAAAACATGGAGAAGTCTACAGGATTTCCAAGTGATCAGCCACACTGAATCAATATGCAACGAGCATGTGAAATGACAACAGTGCTCAATCTGACAGCAGTGTGAGAGTGCTAACTAAGATACAAACTTCAGACATCACTGGACTCCTATGAAATATGACTTGCTGCAAAAGATCATCTTTTTGCATACACCAAATTCACTTTGGCAACTAATGCAATCAATGATCTTTATAAGATTGTTAGATATGCTTTTTAAGGAAGCAAAGCAGCAGGGCTTTTGTTGAACTGATAGATCTCCAGCATCCTAATTGTCAGGTAATTTAGTTTGTCCATTTAGCTTTCCCACAAGAAAATTAAGTTGATTCTCGGTTCATAATCGACATTGGTGACAGTCTCATTTAATAAGACATCCATTTTTCGTATGGGATTATTATTTCCTAAAGGACATACTAATCTTCTAAATTCATACAAATTTTGTAGATTTATAACTCTGTGAGATATGAATATGGGGATATTTGATGATAAACTTGTAGCACAATTTTCTATGTTCTCTTTGCAAAATATTTGAACAAACAAATGTTTGCTAAGTAATGTTGTTTATGAATCATCTTGGATCTGTTGCTGTGAGGACTACTGCAGGTTAGGAATATGATGCTAGTCCAAGTAGCAGTTCTTGATTCTTGTGTTGCCTTAAATGTGTGCATTTTTAAGATGAATCATTTTGACTGTAGCTGCTTGTAGCTTCTACTTTGTCTAAAATAATATATATTTTCTTCCTTTTGTTGTAGTCTCTTGAATCCCCCAAAACCCTTCTTTACCTCAGTCACTGGTTTGCTTCTGCTACTCATCCTCACCCAGTTAGTATGCAGCATTCTGCAAGCTCAACATAAACATTAGATGCAGATAGGCATCATACACATCTAAGAAAACCTGCACTGTTCTTGATTGATGCCATGGCACTAGGAGACTAGGAGCTACGTGAAGCAAAGGAGTCCATGGAGATCATTTTGCTGCTTATTTTGTAGGGGCTACATAGAGTTCTTGGTCTACTCTGCTGGGGTATTCCAATTCTGTAGGTCGAATTCCAGAAGGATGAGACTTGGATATCCAAAGTCAACATATGAGATGCAGCAACAAGTCCTTCATATTCGATGGTGATGGAGAGCTTGTGAGAATTCCCCTCTGGTTTCTGGCCTGCAGTGATGATTTGAATCAAGCAACTTCTGAACACACTTTAGGATGAGGTTTGGAAAGACAGCCTTACAGCCATCCTAAATGCTTTGCATTTACCTCAACACCTCCTTCTCTAGAAATGCAAATCCTATTATAACTAGTGAAAAAGGGGTGCTAGATTCCATAATTATCAATGCAACAGCTCTTCTACACCATTAGTTCACCATGACAAATGTTCATAGTAAGATCAGTTCACAAACATGATACACATCCAAAGGCCGCGAGAAGGTGGGTGATGGTGGTGGTGATGATGATGACGACAACGATATGCAAAAAATCTAAGGAGAATTTTCTTTGATTTGAATCATGATGCCGCCGCGACTGCACAATATTCCTGAGCATCATCTGACCATCATTTTTTCGACGGTCACTGCCATGACTTTGAGATACTTTGATTCTTACTGATTTTAGTTACCTTGGAATTCATAGCAGCCACTATCCTACATAATTTCAGACATTCTCTTAAGCATAATTCTCTGAAACTATGTATAATTCTCTGAAGCATAATTCTCTGAAACTCTGATCTATGTGGAACATTGCTGTCAGATTAAGCTTAATGAAGATGTACCTTTCACAGAGTTCCACATCAATTTGACGCAATGAATGACACAATAAAGATCTCTTTCTTCTCATCTGCTGCAATTTTATTCTCCCCATGTATCTGTCAAGTGTTCTTTTTCATCAATTGTTTGTTTATTTGTCAAAAAAATAATGTAGTTCGTTCCACTGTTCTTCTTTTTTTTAACATACATAAAAAAACAATTCAGTGCACGAGGTTTTCGTCAATACCATATTATTATACATATACTACCGACGAAAGCACTGTTTTGTTTATTCATCCTTAGGTTTCATCGAAGTTTTATCGATACAAACAGAGAGGTGTAAACATACTAAGGACATCGACATCTTTATGGACTGATACATATTTCATGAACATACAAGCTCTGTTATGAAACATATTACAGTCTAATCTTCACAGCAGAATCTAAATTGGTGTATTTAAAGTTCAAGAGTGGCTTGGAGAAGGCAAACTAGAAGAATGAGAGATTGATTCTGCGTTAGATGTCAAAAGCCCAGCACGGAAATGTTCACATCAGACACTGTTAACATGCTAAGGACCTCTGTAATAAATTCTAAGCTTTTGTACCGTTTCTACAGGCTGATTACAGTAAGACTGGCAAAGGGCAATGGAATCTCCCCATCGTTTTCAAGGAGCACCTCTGCTTAGAAGCTTGCTTCAACTTGGGCCATCAGCCTGACACAGATGCACTGACCGTCGACTTTGTACTACTGATGTATTTTTCCACCTCATTTCTTTAGCAAGAATTGCTGAACATTCTGCTCCATCGACTGGGACTGCTTCTGTGGAGAACACCAGTAGACACAGCATGTATCATTTTCTTGTTGAAAAATATTGTATGAACACTGATCATAAATTGTCATGCATCTCAACTCTGGCAAATCATATGGCAGCACAAGAGGTACTGCAACCACTCTCTCTCTCTCTCTCTCTCTCTCTCTCTCTCTCTCTCTTGCATGACTTTGCAATATCATGGTTCTGAAGTTGGAAAAGGAAGTAGGAGCAGAATGTGTTGAGGAGGAGATTATATAGTAGTGCCAGAAGGTAATACTTTGAATTTGGGCACTGGTAGCTTTCTAGATGCAGAATCTATGAGGTGTTTTAGGTTGAGTTTTAGCTTAGTCTTCCCTAGTAGATGCCACCTGCAATCCCTAAGATGCTGAGCCTTTTAAGATCTGTCGTCTTCTCAGTGGAACTAGTCTGCCATCTCCAGTTTTGTCTTTAACAGAACAACAATTCTTTCTTTCTTTTGGCTCTTTTATATCTGGTAATCTAATCTGATGAGATAAATGGTTGATGCTGAAGCCATTGTCGACTTGGTCCTCTGTTTTAAGGACACTTTCAGGTTGCAGGAAGATACTGAAACATCCTTGAGCTGATGCAAGAATTCCTGGATGAACCTGTTCACCTCCTCTGAATACCAAAAGTCATAGATCTCAGAGAACAGCAGTTTGGCTTTTTCCTCTGTTTTTGTCTGATCCAAATGTAACTACAATTTGTATTTTCTCAAAGTTGGCAACAAGCCTTCCTCAGAATATAAACCCTAATATGGGGATAGAGAGAGAAGAGACTAGTTGATGATCCATGGGATAAGGTTCCAAACAGAAGAATTCCTACATCTCAGTAATGAAGCTTGTCTTTGCTATGATCTCTAAACCAAAATAAGTAAACAACAAACACTATTCTGACCAAAGGACAACCAATGCATTTTTTAATGCCATCCATACCCTCCTCTCTTACCATAAAAGAAATCCTTCTCATAGTCTCTCTCCTCCCTCCTCTCCCAAAACTTCACCACCAACAAGAAGGAGATACGGACCACAAGAGTAGACGAAGAAGAAGAAGAAGAAGAGGAAGAGCCTTATTGATTCTAAGTTCCATGTCAAACATCACAGGTGGTGGTGGAAGCTTCTCATCTGGGAGCAACGCAGGAGAAGATGAGGTCCATAAGCAAAGCCTTCTCTCCTGTGATTCACCTGCAGCGGCGGAAAACAGTGATATCTCAGCTGCACAGCTTCCGCAGCTGCCGCCGGCCAAGAAGAAACGCAACCTCCCAGGAACTCCAGGTGATGAACAAGCTCCCTGCTTTTCTCATATCCTTCTTGACTTCTAAAAGAGATTAATCTTTCTTTTCCCTTCCTAACAAAGTTGTTCTTTGTCGTTATTCAAGATCGACAAGGAAATCTTCAATTATTGCTTGGCATTTCAACAATTGCTGTGACTGTTAGCTAGCTTACTTGCATCACCTGTTCTTGAATAGCTATCAGCTAAGCTTACTGGATTCTATACCCTTTGAGATTGTTCTCATGGCTATAGTCTACAGATTGAGAAGCAAATCAAAGAACAAATGAATCATGAATGTGATCACGGAGTTATCCTTCAAATATTGATGTTGATCCTGTAGAAATTCTAGACCACATTGCTGTCTGAAAGCATACCATTTACGAAAATTGTAGTTCAATATCATGAATTATGATCAGATTAGAAGTGCTCGAGAACGAAAGAAACAGAGGCCTCTAAAATTTCTGGTTTTGTTGAACCATGCAAGTAGCAGACCCGAAAGCTGAGGTAATTGCGCTCTCACCAAAGACGCTCATGGCGACCAACCGATTCGTGTGCGAGATCTGCCGCAAGGGGTTCCAGAGGGACCAAAACCTGCAACTGCACCGCCGAGGCCACAACCTTCCGTGGAAGCTGAGGCCACGAAACGGCGGCAGCGAGGCCAGGAAGAAGGTCTACGTGTGTCCGGAGCCCACATGCGTGCACCACAACCCCAGCCGCGCCCTCGGCGATCTTACCGGAATCAAGAAGCACTACTGCCGCAAGCACGGCGAGAAGAAGTGGAAGTGCGACAAGTGCTCGAAGAAATACGCCGTGCAGTCAGATTGGAAGGCTCATTCCAAGATCTGCGGGACGAGGCAGTACAAATGCGACTGTGGCACCATCTTCTCCAGGTCTGCAGTTTCCTGCTCCTTTCTTACGCTGTCCAAAAGACCGTCCCACTGGTTTTGCTGTCTCCCGCGAATGGTGGGGAAAAGTCTTCCTTTAATTCTTGAGCTACGTGTGAGATCAAAAGTTTGACCTAACGTCGCGGAGAGGCCCTTTTCAAGTTCTAACTTTGATCGTCAGATCTTGATAGAAAAGGACCACATCGGAAAGTAGGCCGCCGCCGCCACTTTGTCTCCGCATGCAGCTGAAAAGTCCTGCGTGGTTTCATCATACTTCATGTGGTCGTCTCGTCGTCTAACTGAGAACATTTACTTAGTCGATATAAGCTTGATCGTAAGATCGATCACCAGATATAGTCTTATCTTTTTCTCTGAAAATTACAGGAGAGACAGCTTCATGACCCACCGAGCCTTCTGCGACGCGTTGGCGCAGGAGAACAACGAGCTTAGCCAACCCCTGATGGCCACCATGGCTTCGAGCTTGCAAGGGCAGGCTCCTCCCAGGCTGGTGATGCCCATCCAGCACACCAGCAACACCTCCTCCTCCACTACCGTCCCCGAGTTCAGCTATGACATGAAGAACCCGCCGGCGATCGACGCCCTCGCCGCTTCATTGGCATCCCGCGACATGGCCGGTGGCATGTTTCCGAGCTTCTTGGGCATCCCTTCCTCCTCCGGCCCAGTGAGCTTTGATGGGCTATTCGAGGCCCAAATGCCAAGGCCTACGGCCGTGTCGGCGCACTCGTCGGCGACGTCTCAGCTGCAGAACGCCGCCCAGATCGGCGCGACGCGGAGGGGCATGGCTTCGGTGATGGCTGGGAGGCCGTATCAGTTAACCAGCATCCATGGAGGAGGATTAGCCAACCTATTCTATGCTTCTTCTGTGCGTGAGACGGGCGACGGATCCTTGAAGGAGATGATGGCTCGCTGTGGCAGTGGGGATGTGATGACTGTGGACTTCCTGGGCGTCGGGGGACAGAGGAGGCCACACATGCAACAACAGCAGCAGAGAGAGCGTCACAACATGGAGTTTGGAGGGGTTGTTCTTCGTACAGGGATGGAGACTCCGCATCATCTGCAGCAGCAGATGGCTTATGGCCGCAGTGATGAACCGGAGAACCCTGTTTGGGACATGTGATCTATTAGAAACATCATTTCCTCTTCTTCTTGAAGCATATTGATGCATCATGTAGAGTTGTCCAACATTCCAGTGCTCAATTTAGTCGGGTTTCATTTTAACAAGTTTATTTCGCTGCGTTGTCAATCGATAATGTTTATGTTCTTGACTTATTTACCTATTGAGATTCGTAGAATTCCTTCGGTAAGTTTTGAACATCTGAAGTCTTCGTACTGATATTAGAGAAACCTTGAATTAAGAAGAATACCTACAAATTTAAAAAATATCTTTAATAATTAAAAATATAAATATTTGAATATACTCTGTCATTTCAAATCATCAAAATTGTTCATTTACCCTATCGTCGTTGATTTTATCGACACCAGTCTGATGCTAGTCCCACTTCGTCCTCTCTTGCACCTTCGTCCATTATCGTGACCTCCGTAGCTTCCTCTTTCTCAACAAGTTGGTTGAGGAGAGCTAGTGGGGCGTTAGAGGGTTACATGGACTAGCTCAACCTCTCCGTCCGCTTACTCTTTATCTTCGTGATGTCGTACTTCGTGGGGGAGGTGATTTACTTTGTTGTGGTGGGCGGCGTAGTGACAAGCGCCTTGGAGCTGATGAGTTGGATCTACCGGATGTCACTCGCTAGCTCTGGGGTGCATGTCACCATAACGTTGCCTATCATCGCGAACGGCACCCGCTCTTATCCCAACAAGTACCATCATACCTTGTAAGCCACCTCTTCTCGAAAAGGCTGAGGTAGGAGAGGCCGAAGACAGAGGTGAGGGAGAGAGGGAGAGTTAGACCACCACATTGTATGCACGACAAGTGAGGGTGCAAGAGAGGACAAAATGGAAGGCGATGGGGACGAAGACGACCAGGAGGAGGAAGATGAACTAGGAAACCACTACGTGCCTAGCGTCGGATTGGTTGATACACATCTACCTGAGACAGGACCAGAAGCTCTTGAGCTCGTCATCAGCGTGAGACAGACTACATGTGTATGAAGCCCTATTAGGCAACAATAGCTCGATGCTACTACTAGTGGTCACTTCCACGATGACACCCCCTCCCGCCATTGATTGTTATCTTTGTTTTTTTTAACTTAAATTAGATATATCATTATATTAATATTTTATTATGAGTTAGCGTACCACGTAAGCAGACTATAACGTCTGTTAACTAAATTTTAATAGGAGGGATTTATATGTTATGTTTTTAAAAATGTATGGATTATTTTAGGCACAAGTAAACTATAAGAGCTTAAGAAGTTCATGATCAAAACTATAGAGCTAAAATTAACTTTAAAATTTTTATTATATATGTTATTATATTAATAGTTTATTATGAGTCAACATAGACTCTAATGTCTGTTAACTCAAACATGACGAAAGGGGCTTATATATTGCATATTTGAAAATTTAGAGGTCAATTTAGAAACGAGTAAATCATAAGGGATTAAAAAGTCTATGACCAAAACTATATAGAATAAAATAGACCTTAACCCTTTTAATGATGATAACAAACTAATTACATATTACCCCCAATAATTAGACTCCTTTAACATCTCTTGTTTCTTGACTTAGATTTTTATATTAAAATAATTATAATTATAAAATATAAAAGTAAAATATTTAACTCTATTTATCATAATGCCATTGGCTTTACCGATATATAGAAAGATATGAAAACGATAAGCAAAAAGATAATTTCTTATATTCTTTAGCATCCCGATTATAGACTTAAAAATTAATATTAAAATTTTTATATTTTATAAAAGTAAAATATTTAACCTCATTTACTATAATGTCATTAGCTTTAATGACGGAAGATACGATACATGACAACACATGTCTGAATGGCGTTGCACCACTCTATCTCACTTACATTCTTTTCTTTCTCCCTCCTCATTGTTAGCGACATAGATGCCTCACCTACCTCCTCCAACATCAACGTAGATACAAAACAAAGCTAGAGGAGATAGACCGATGCGACACCGATGCAGATGCCTCACCTACCTCCTCATTGCTTTGCCTCATCTTCTCTCTCGTCGTTGAAGTTCGAATCGATATTGATAAGACTAACCATTGCGTCGTCTCCATCTACCACCACAACGTTATCATCCACCACCTTCATTGAAATTATCTTTTTGCTCATTATTTTTGTATCACTCATATACGTACTATATTTTCTATCGGTAGAGATGACGACATTAGGGTAAATGAGGTTAAATATTTCACTTTCGGGATTTCAATATAAACTTTTTAAATATACGGATCGAGATGCTAAAGAAATTTAACTATTAACTGTAACGATAATAGATAATTAGGTCTATAATTTCTTACATTTAAGCAAATAAGTAATACATGGTCTATGCATTTTATTTGTTTTTTTTTTATTCTGACTCATATATAGACAATAGATTTACTTGAAACTTAAATTCATCAGAATTTTTTAATGTGTCGAACGAATAAAAATTAATCATGACCCGAATCTATTATATTATAATTATATATAATTATAATATGAAATAAATCATTTGATATTATTTTGTCTTTAATATCTAAATGAGAATGATCTATACATTTTGTATTCTGAAAAAATTGTAATTTTGTAAAACGTAGATAAAAGATGTATATTAAAATGACACATAGAAACATGAAATATAACCCAACAAGTGCCACGTATATATGAACATAAAAAGGATCGTAGTGTACATTTGCATTTTACGTATACGTACGTAATGCCATAAACAGCTACAATTAGCGTGAAACCGCCGTTGAAGGGTATTTAGGTGATTTTACTTTTGTAAGACCGAACGCGAACCCTAACCCTCGATGCTTCTTCCTTCTCTATATATATTCTCCCACCAATGTCGTCTCCTCCCAGTCATGGAGCGCCGGGAATCATCGATCCCTCTTTCTCTTCTTCCTCCGTTTCTCCGATTTCTTTCTGAAATAAGAGGCTATGATGACCAAAATCTACCTATTTTATGAGAGGGCTAATCTCCTCTCTGATTAAGGTACATTCCAATGGATCCTTCTGAGCCTCCGCCGCTTTCTTGATCTGCTATTTGTGCGCGCCGGTAAGCCTCGGCCCTTATTCTTACTTCATTTCTCCGTCCTGTTTCCGATATGAGAGGCTGTGATGCCCAAAATCTACCTATTTTATGAGAGGGCTAATCTCCTCTCTGATTAAGGTACATTCCAATGGATCCTTCTGAGCCTTCTCTACTTTCTTATTTTTCTCCGATTTGATCAAGATAGATCTGTGCTACTGGCCGTTGGCGTGATGATCCCTTTCTAGGAATGCAACACATGTCGAATAAATAAATCAGACTACAATTATCTGATCAACGGCGACATCGATTTTGTTTCCGATCGCGTCTTTTGTTGCTTCGAATCGCACTTGTTTTCTTGTTTCGTTTTCGGTTTCTTTTCTCTAAGACAACAATGCAAGTCTGTGAAATCGAGTAGTACCTGTGCACGATAAGCCGATGCTCCGGACTCCTAAGGGAAGAAGGAAGGTAGCATGGTAGGGTGCACAGAGAGGAAAGAACGGGTCATCATGTCTGCTCTCGTTGACGCCTTCGGGCATTGATCCTGCGGGCCTGGATTCGACCCACAACCAATCCCATTCTTGTTTCTTCTCTGTTCTCTTTCCTTCTGCTTCTCCTTATATTTTTTTTTGCCATTCGATGCAGTTTGCTTCGTATCATATATCAGACGGCGTAATGGAATTGTGATACGTAGTGGTAATTTTCTATTTTTCTTGATGCTTGGGCTTTAAAAGTAGTTTTTCTATTGCTTATAAAAAGATTTATTATGATGTTTTACTTATTTCTGCTCTTATAAATTTGCCATTCATATGCCTTTTGGGAATATATATATATATATATATATATATATATATATATATATATATATATATATATATTCTCATTCATTCAGTCTATATATATATATATATATATATATATATTCTCATTCATTCAGTCTATATATATATATATATATATATATTCTCATTCATTCAGTCTTTGTCTAGCATCTCCATCCTAGTTAGACACGCTAACCCAATCCAACGGCAGCGAGAGCATGATTCTGTTCCCACCACAACAATCATGCACCTAACAACTAAACCCGCACGTCTTGAACTGGTTCTTCACCTCCTCCGTTATATAATGAAACCAAAAGTGAACCAGTAATCATGCTGGACATCCATGGAGGAATCGGGCAAGAAGCACTTCATCCTCGTGCATGGGATCTGCCAAGGCGCATGGTGCTGGTACAAGCTCATCACCCTTCTCAGGTCAGCCGGCCATTTCGTCATCGCCGTCGACCTCGGCGCCACCGGGGTAGACCCACAGAGGCTCGACGAGCTCAGCTCCATGGACGACTACGCCCGCCCGCTGTTCCACGCCATCGCCTCCCTCCCGCCTCACCAGAAGCTGGTCCTCGTCGGCCACAGCTTCGGCGGAGCCAGTGTCTCCCTTGCGATGGAGAAGTTCCCCGACAAGATCTCCGTCGCCGTCTTCGTCACCGCCGTCATGCCGAGCACCACCGTTGCCATGGCTGCCCTCACGGACGAGGTATAAGGGACATGATTCCGGGCTATATCGCTGGATTCACTCATCATTGGTTCTATTTTTCGGTGATCGCTAGTTCTTCAAGGGGCATCCAGCTGAAGCCTACCTGGATTCGAAGGTCTCGATCAGCTCAGATCCCCAGAACCCTTCGAGCAGGATAGAGTTCGGCCCCGAGTACATGTCGAACAGACTGTACCAGCTCAGCCCAGCTGAGGTACGCACACAAAGTGCTCGACGAAAACACCAGACTTTGAATCCTCTCCACTCTTCTCGTGCATGCTGATCTTTCCAGGACCTGACGCTGGGGACGCTGCTCGTGAGGCCAGGGAGTTGGTTTTTGGGCGATCTGCTACGCGATGGAATTGTCACGGAGGAGAAGTACGGGTCGGTGAGAAGGGTGTTCATCGTGTGCAAGGAGGACTTGGCCATGGCCGAGGGCTACCAGCGTTGGATGATAGAAGCCAGCCCGGGGGCGGAAGTGGAGGAGATCGAAGGTGCCGATCATATGGCGATGCTCTCCAAGCCGGTGGATCTGTGCAAACTCCTCCTCGAGATTGCCGCAAGATATTGATGTCAAAGGCACATACGTGTCGGTGGTGCTATGTAGTTTCTGGAACATGAACGATTAATAAAATACAATAAATGTTTGCCATCTAAAAACCATGTTAGAAATGAATAAACTAATTTACACGGTGGATGGGTTCAAGTATTTTCTATTATGAAGTTAAGAGATTCACTTGGTCCGAATAATTGGATAAATGGGATGAAGAACAATAAAAAGAGACTAATTTAAATTATATATATATATATATATATATATAATTTAAAGAAATTGCATGGTGAATCAAATTGGAATGGGATTTGGGCGAGGGTTGTGTAATTAAAAAATACAAATAAAATCAAAGTGTGATGGGTGACGAGAGTCTAATTAAAAAAATTTTTATAAAAAAAAACACCGACAGTACACTTAAATATGGATTCAAACTTGAGAGCTGTCACTTAAGATGTCAAAATGGAGACTGCTTGCTTGCTCTACATTATTAGTTGTGTCATGGTCATGGTTATGGTTTTGGGTTTGAACATAAAATAAAATGTTTTGGTTGTATTCATAAAAGTCTAGTGACGTTCCCACTCCTCTCTCTTTCATGCCTTGTCCAGTTGCCGAGGGCCCATCTAACAGGCTTTTTCTTTTGTTTTCTTTGACTCGAATGCAGAGTTCTTCCTCCTTCATGCCTTGTCCAGTTGCCGTGGGCCCATTTTCGTTGACTTTTACTACTCCCTCCTCCATGCCTTATCCAGTTGCCGTGGGCATATCTAACGTGTGTTTTTTGTTTTCTTATTCTTGTGTTTCTTTGGCTTGGGAAGAAGGCAAGTGTTCGCTACTTGAATTCTCCGTTAACATCAAATAGGATGGCGTGTTACTCTAATAAGTGATCTTGGACTCTCTCTCTCTCTCTCTCTTTCTCTCTCTCTCATAATTGTCTATTTAATTTTTTTGTCTGAAAACTCGAGATCCAAAATGTTTGATTTGTAAAGATTAGCAGAGGTGAAGAATGAAAATGTTTTCATGAGAGAGAAAACAGAAACAGTGTCACCAAATATTCTCTAGTTTGAAGTTTTTGTTTCAGAAAGGGAAATAAATGAAAAAGGCGTATGCTATCAATGAATGCCCCTATTTTAAGTGATTTGTCCACTTTATTCCTAATATTTACTAATAATCCATCTTTTAAATGAAAAAAAAACAACCATAATACTTAAATAAATTTATTCCCAGATGAAACTAATGATAACTTAACAGCATTTATCGAAGCAGCAAATATGGCATATTCATCAACCTCATTGTTTACATGAAGACTAAACCATAAAGATCGAAACATAATAAATAATGATACCTCATTCACCCAATTCATATCTAGCCGAATCAGCAATGAAAAGAAAATACTTCATCATGTCAAAATCCAGCAAAATCCATCTGCAGATGGTAACATGGAAATGACAAGGAAAACTGAAAGATGGGAGTTTCTTACCTTAAAACAGGAAAATCTTGAGCAAATAGATAGAAACTCCAAGTCTAATGAAGTGTAGAAAAATTATTAGGTGAGGCACAACCAAAGCACAATGCTCATTCCTCGTCGTCCTCGTCGCCGTCACCTCCAGCTGCCTTCTTTGCAGCAGCCTTCTGGTTCTTTCTCTTCACCCTTCCCGGGCGGCCTCCGCCAAATGGACTTGTCAGTGAGAAATCAATGTGCTTTGCAGAATCCACTCTGACCATGAATGATGGGATGTTGACCACTTGCCTTCCCACTCTGTAAGCAGGATCAAATGAACACAAACTTAGATGATGCAAAATTATATGTATACCTATATTAAATGAACACAAACTCAGACTATTGCCAAGCCATTTGTCTACACAGGATTCTTCAAATAGGGAACATGTGGAGGCATTTTCAAGTCAATAGGAATTACCATTAAAAAAAAGTCATTGTGTAACCACAAAAGTAATTGAATCTTAGAACGAGAGAAGACAAAGTTGAACCATAATAGATACAGAAAACTAACCGGATTTAGATTCAGAAGTGAAACACTAGTCTTGAATCCCTTACCCACTGGATACTAGATGAGCACATCTAAGTTTAGCTTGGCTCTACAGGTGTCATGACAAATAAAATATAGGTGATGCAAGATGTAATATAAACAAAAGCAGTTTCACCACAAAATTTGAAACATGAGGTGATTGACGTTCTGCTATATTCTCTCCCTCTCTACAACTACCTAAGATACCTTGTGACTGGAAAAACTTTACAGAGATAAAAGGAAATAAAAAGTTGCTTTTGTGCATGCACTCAAACATGTCTGAGAGTCTTGCAGATGTTTTCATAAGCATGAACTTGAAACTATCTTCAAGATTCTTAAAAAAACAAAGGTGGTAATAAAATCAATTGGAATAACCTTGCAGGATTACACAGTCAGACCAGTCTTGCATTTGAATCTCATCAACCAGGTACACAAACAGTAACATTAACGAATCATAAATCCAGTAAGCAATATTGATTTTAACCCCAATTGAGGAATGCATTGCGCCAATGACAAGCTCAATGGTCCGTACAGATGATCATATCAGGTCATTTTCTAAGCCCTTTTAATCAGATTTTAGAAAAGGATTTAGGTAGAATGCAGTGAGTTAGGTCAGAAAGTCTCAAGAAAATGGGGATATATAGTGTTAACTAGCTCTCAAGTCAAATACAACTATGAAAATTCAAACTTAAGTTGCACCCATGGCAGTAATATCTGCACTGAAAGAAAAAAGGAATCAGAAGAGGCAAAGCAAGGAAGACAATGACAAGGTATAACTGCCTAACAAACATTAATATTTAATTGTAGTAAAACAAAATATTTGATTTTCACCTACCTTGATTTGGATCAACAGAAGCTGAACAAGATAGGGTGAGCCTATAAAGTTGTTTGATTATTGAGCCAAACCCATCAAAACTATCTCAATCCACTGGAACTTGTGAAACTAAATCTGAAACAAGGCAAGCTGCAAAACCTCCAAATCGATGAAAGTTTCAAATTATAGAGACTACCAAACTGCAACTCTTTTGATGTGGCTAATGCTGAAAACAAACTGAAATGTACACAAAGGGCTAACATCCCATTTTATACTTCATTACCTACCTCTTTGTAAAATGTATTAAACCATCCCTAGTTCAAATGAGAAAGAAATGCTTTAGGATTTAGCTAGCGGGCTCCTCTTTTGTAGGAACCGGACAACTTTCAAACTCTTACAATCACAAAATAATGAGACATATCACAAAAAACAAAAAAAATAAAAAAATCTTGAATTACAGAATTAAAGGCTGAATTTAGCCTCAAACTTGAGCAGATGTAGTTCCAACACACAAATAGCATGATCTTGTTGCTCGACTTAAGAATTCATGGAAAATATTCAAAGTTGTTATGTTCATTAAACTTCTTTGATGATAAGAAAACATTCGATGCCCAGCTACTAACACCAACATGCAGATTATTTTCCAGCAAATACAAACCACGAATCCGAACTAAAATAGATACATAATTGGAAAAAAAATGATACAGTAATCAAACAAGAATTTTTAAGCATCTGAAATAATTGTTACAAGAAAGGATTTAGACACGATTTATGCTATCAATGGGTTCATTACTTCATACATTCTGTCATCTCTACTTCAAGAACAAGAACAAATTGAATAGCAATAAATTTTAGAACCAGAAAATTAAATAATTAATGGCAAAATGAGAAGAACAAGAAAAGCAAAAAGTAGCATCAAACAAGAAAATTCACACTTTCAAAGCATGCATGGGAAGCAAATAAACATAATAATCCCATATTTAATAGTATACCAAGAAAAACACATTTGAACATCAACCTACAAAAACATTACAAAATCTTAGCACATACATGTAAGATATACACCCAAGTGGTTCTATGTAAATAAGAAAAAGTAAAATGCTGTCAACAAGGAGCACCTGTAAGAATTCAACAAATGAGAGAAGACTTATTTATGAACAATTCAATCAGGTATTTTATTTGACTAAATTGATCACATCTAAATGGAAGTGAACAGGCAGAGCTGTCAAGCACTGAATTAATAAGACTATAAATAAACCTACAGAAGACACACTGAATACTCCATGCACAAGGTAGTAAACAAAGTCAGACATTCCAAGCAGAAAGACAAATTTGGACGTTGATCAAATGCACCACCAGAAAAGCTACCTAAAGAACAAGTAGATGCAACATGAAACACAAAACCACAGAGAAGAATCCTCATCTATAATGCAGCTTATCAAAAGAGAAACTATCACACATGTCAAAAGGAATACACAAGTCAGATATGAGCCATGAACAGAACATTCAATGGTCAGCAACGAAAATGCTAGAAAACAACTACATGACAGAAAACATACAACATGCAAAGTAGCATAATGCATACCCTAATATATTCTTTTTGTTCAGAAGTGGAAATTGCAGGAATTCCTAGAATATTAGCAAATATAAAATAAATTAATCATAGCCAAAAATCTTCTCATCCAATCAGATAACCTGTCAGACTACCTTACCTAGTCATGTCCAAATAGAAGAGGCAAAAATTATCCTAGCAATGATATCACAACAAAGCTGTAAAAGGGAGCTTTCAACACACAGTTACTCACAACGACAGTGCGCATTATTAGTCATAAAAGGAGGAGTCGGGCAACCTGATGTGACGCTGCCTGATCAGGACGCGAGCGTGGTGGATGGACTTGGCCATCCCGGACTTGAAGACGAGCGTTTGAAGGCGGCGTTCCAGGAAGTTCTCGACGGTGAGCGCGAGAACGTAGTCGAGCTTGTTCTGGCCCTCCTCGAGGAGGCCGTACCGGTTCATCCGGCGGAGCAGGGCCTCGCCCTCAAAGATCCGGCGGGGGTTCTTCTCGTCGAGCGTCAGCAGATCCCTGGCGGCGTTCCGGATACGGCTGAGCGCGTATTGCACCCTCCACAGCTCGCGCTTGCACCGGAGCCCGTACTCCCCCACCAGCTTCAGCTCCGCGTCCAGCCGCTCCTTCTCGTACGGGCGGCGGGGCTTCTTGAAGGTCTTCCCATCTGCCAAACATCATCCACATTTACTAGGGCTTCTCGACCA